AGTGTTGGTAAGTATAGACCTGGCAGGCATCTACTGTACTCTTTTAGAGAGTTCGCACTCTCATTCAAGACAGAGAACATTCGCTTTGCTTATCCTTCATATATTGGATAAGCATATTGTAAGAAATGGAAATTAATGAGGAAAGAAAAAAAAAAGCCTGTATAGCAAATACAGTACATTTTGAAATATGTATATTTTTTATTTCAGTCTTTATATTTTCACAAAAATGGTTCCCCAGAGCTTTTTGTGATATCTTCAAATTGCAGCGCTTCTTTCATCCGACCAACAGTTCAAATCCCAAATGTTTTCAATTAGCAACTCTTAAGACTTCGAGAAGCTAAAAACCTAGCGAGTTGTTGGCAGGTTCGCCATCCAACTTGGACAATTCCGCTGTTGAAAAATGCATGGGGTTTTTTTGCACATGACTAAAAGGAATTAATATTTGGAAAGGAAATTTGCTTGAGAAATGAATGTGCTCAGATTGAATTCAAGAGGCACAAGCTGGCAAGTGTAAATAAATTCATGATGACGATTAACAGGGAAGGGACTCGCATTTCCGTTCAAATGACTTTGTCTCCGTCGAGTGTAATATTCATTGAGCAACATCCCGCTTTGAAATATTCATATCAGCCTGCCGAACAGAGAATAACTCTAATAACAACAAAAAAACGGAATACTAATGCACGCCTTTATCTCTTTATATTTGTTATGTTTTATTTCAGTGCTGTTTCATGCCATCACATCTTGTCGTGTTTGTTTGTGTGTAGCAGTAGACCGTGTCACTGCCCGGTCAGATCAATATATGTGGGCCAACATGTCTTGATGCACGGGGATTATATTTACACAGAACCGTGTTTTTTTTGGCACTACTACTCTCAGAAGGCTTGATTGCTAACTTGGGAACTATAAATGTTTGAGGCAATTTGAAAACCCATTATCTTCCAACCATTATCTGCAGTGACTGGCGGAAATGGAACACTCAAACCTTTCTTGTGTATTCATTTAGCGCTGTGATCAGACAGTTATAAGGGAGTTGTGAAGTTTAAAAAAAAAAAGAATGGACTCCCCGCGGCCAATCAGAGTCAAATGCTTACTCAGGCCGTGGTAATTACACAGAAATTTGCTTTTAAGCACAGAAAGTTATCTACCATAATGAGTGATAGAGCCTTTCATTGGACTGGTGTTTGCAGTTGCCTTAGAACGCTTTCAGCTCAGAGACCGATGTATGAAAAGTGCAGTCGTGTAAAACCAGGAGGCTGTCTGCTACACGGCAATGTGTCAAACCCGAAAGTGGAGAGAGAAAAATGATAAGCCAAAAAGATAGACAAAAGCCTAGAGTAAATCTGCAACTGATTAAACTAATGAAAAAGTGGCCAATTAATTATCATCTCATTATAGGAAAGTGTTGTAACCCAGATAATAAACCTAATGTAGTTTTTTTTAAATGATTCCACACGGCAGCTATTCAGAAGACTGACACCAAAATCTCTCTCTCTCTCTCTCTCTCTCTCTCTCTCTATATCTCTCTCTCTCTCTCTCTCCCCTCCTCTTCCCTACCTCTCAGCATTTATCTCAGCACTCAATTTTACAAATAAATGTATGCCGTTGTAAATGAAGAATTTCAATTGGAGGCACAGTTTGACAATTTGAGTGTTATGCTTATTTGCTTTCTTTGTGAGAGTTAATCAACGGCACTTTCGTGTCTACGTGCAAAACAGGTGTGGTGAGAGCCAGGAGACAATTAGCCTAGCTTAGCATGAAGACTGGATGTGTGTGTGTGTGGGGGGGGTCATGGCTGGCATGAATGAATCTCCCCGTGGTCCAAAAATATACACCTCCAAAGCTCACTAATTAGCACAATACAGTTTGTCCGTTAAATTTGTACACATAATTAGGCTAATGTAAGAAAGATTATGTGCAGTGACTTTTTGATGTCTAGTTGTCACGGTAAGGTTGCCAGACAACTATCTCTTGTTGTTAAGAGATAATTGTAACACAACTTAACTTCCCCTAAAACCATAAATCGTCACCTAAACATTTCACTCGTATGGATTAAACAAACAAGACACGGCTAGCAAGTGAGACTAGCTAGTTTCTCCCTTTCTCCAATCTTTACGCTAATTAGCTAATTCCCTGCTAGCTGTGGCTCAAAATTTAACGGACAAGAGACTGGTATCGATCTTCTCATCAAATTAAGTGAATAATTATATTTCTCAAAATGTCCTCGAGCTAACGGTGCTAACAACGCCAACAGTGCTGACAGAGCTAGAGGTGATAGCGGCCGTGAGCTAGCCAGTGGAGCACGCTCAGATGCACTGAAAGCTCAGGTAAACATTACTCCACTATATCTTTACATAGCTGATAGTTGTTTGCTCCTATATTAGTGCTCTGAATATCATATAGAGAACCTATAGTGCTTCAACATCAAATTAAAGTGTGCTTCCTACTTTGTGGCAACAGTTTGTAAATTCAATCTAGTATGTCGCCAACGATTGTCCACATACTTCTGGCCATTTAGAGTATGCGTGTGTATACGTGTGTGTCAGCAGTAAACTCCAGCTGCACTTTGTCTTTCTACTGCCAATCTCCTCTGTTCTAACGGTGTGCTGTCGTCAATTTGGGGTGTTGATGTTTTCCTGAGTTTGTCAGCAGGTCTGACTGGTGCTCGAGAACACCTACAGCCTCCCCCAAGGGAAGTGTCACAATTGGACATGCACCCCCCAACCCACCCACCCCGACAACCCATCACACACACACACCACATAAACACACACACATACATGAAAGAGACTAAAGACAGACATCTGTATAAACGTGGCCTCACACACAAACTGAATCTCTTACTCCTTTACTCCTTAATCTGTCGCTCCCCCTCGCTATGTTTCTCAGACTCAAATCCACATACACACACACACACACACACACACACACACAAACACACACACTGACTAAATTGACTTGTCAGCTTCAATCAGACCAGGAACAAAAGGATTCCTGCCAGTTTGAAGCTGACATCATTAATAGGTTTGGGAGGGGGCGAGCTCTGAAGACAAAGCGAGTGCAAGGTCGGGCCGACTTAAAATGCACTTTCATTTTGGCAGGGACGTTAGCTTTTTGATTCCAGCCCCTTTTTACGCCAACATCTCTTTGCGAGTGTCTCTAACTTTCATTATCACTGGGAACAGAGGGGCGTGCGAGACTTTGTTGTGCTGATGGAGAGAAATGTGACATCCATAATGCATTTCCTATTAGAGGATGCCACGCATGGACACGCATGGACACCCCTGGCCACGTGTCAGTGGGAGATGGACAGGTAGAGGATGAGTACAAATGGAGCGTTGGTGGTGGAGAGGAGACCAGGAAAGAAAGGTGGCCAAGTATAGATACCAACGCAAGAGATTGTGTCAAGGTTTGGAGAGCCACGGGACATGCAGCTCTTCATGTGACATATGAAATCCACATAAAACCGGCTTTCCTGGTGCATTGTAGCAGCAAAGCCAAATGCTTTGAACATTTAAATCCTCTCCTCTCACTTCCATGACTTCATCCGTCCTCATTTGCTTCTGTTTCCTCTGCCGCATGCCCATCTGCCCCCCCCCCCCTTCTGCGGCTTTCACTCTGACCCTGGATAAAGATGGAGTCCCTCATCTCAAATGGTAATAACTTTGGTCCATATGCACATAGCCATCGCAAATTGATTACTGTGTAATGCCGCAAGTGCTCCCGCTCTCTCGCTCTCTGCTCTTCCATCTTGTGATTTTGCACGAGGCTGACTCTGTGTCCAATTCGGCTGCCATTAAACGGCACCCCTGGGTGCATCCCAAACACAAACAAGCGCGTCCTAAACTCTCTGATTCCCCACGGCTCGCTGATCCCTCTCCTCCCCCACTGTCTCAGTCCTCTCTCCCTCACCCACCATCTTTGTCCAACACTCACTCGAAACCAGCTTATCCTTCACCTGTTTTACCCTCAACCACTCATTCCCTTTTATTCTCATTCTAATTATACCATTACATTACCATTTCTATTCTCTCATTTGCATTTTTTGCTCTCCCCATCTCCTGTTCTTCCTCTCTCTAATTCTCTTTTTTTTCGCCTCTCTCTCTCTCTTTCTCCATCACCCTTCCCGTTTCTCAGTCACTGAATACGTTCCACCTTTCTTTTTTTTTTGCTGCACGTAAACAGACCGTGCCCTTGGGGATCGGTTGGAGAGCTCTGTCTTTGTTTGTGTGCACCTCTAACTAACTCTCCATCTGCGGGGAGCCAAGCCCGGCCCAGCAGTGCAAGACAGATAGCTGGCATCCTCCCAGCCTCTTCTCTAGTTGGACCCAAGTCTACACCCCCGCCTCTCAACTTCTCCTTCCTTGCAGGCTATCGTCCTCCCACAGAGGCGGTTGTCTGCCGCCCTCAGGCAGCCATTAAGGTACTGTAGACACCCCACTATTCCTTTTCCTCAAAGCTTTAAACCAAAAAATCTGCTGCTGCAGCTTCCGATGGATATTCAATCCTTTCCGAGCCATACGCTGTGGATATTCGTCACCGGACTTTCCTCAGGCTCCATCCCCAGTCAACCCCAGGTTAACCTCCAACACGAGCTCACTTTCAGACTAAATAACCAATAGCACATTTTCGGTTTTTGGCCACATCAAAGAGCTTTGAAAAGGAGAGGTACTTAAGCATTAGCTTTAGTTAAAAAAACGGAGTTTCAGTCATGTTATTGCCCGAGGCTGTAACATAAACCTTTGAAAAGAGTTACAATATTACATATGTTGTATTTTACGTTGCATCACTCGGCGAGACTGTAAGGATGCAACCGAAATACAGTCATACACAAGCAGCCTAAACCTCAGTACATGCTGCACATTACTTTCATGCACAAAAATTCATCATCAAAGGTGCACTTCATTATCTGCTAAGCTTAAGTCTTCCATGGCCGTTTTGCATAGTGATGGGCAACCGCCCCCCCCTCCCCCCTCGTGGAATAACCACACTGCACTCACCATTGTCAGGCTCGGACTTCCTGTCATGCTCAGTGTCAGTGAGGGATAGGGCGGAGTTGGCGCGGCTCGTCAGGCACGAGCTCTGCTCGGACTTCAGGCCGCGCATCCACATGTGCTGCAGGCCGTGAGCGGGGTCCACTTCGGGCTCGGTGTCCACGTCGGAGCCCACGCCCAGGGAGTAACGGCTGTGGGCATGAGCGGCCGGCCCGGAGCACAGCGCTTCCTCCTCGTCCTCCTGGTGCTGATGCTGCTGCTGCTGCAACTGCTGCTGCTGCTGCTGCTGTTGGTGGATGTGGTAGTCCGGGCTCCTCATCGACCCAACCTTGCAGAAGTCTAATTCTAGAGGAAGAGGAGAGACGACGCAGATTGAGACCACACAGCCTTTCAAAGAAGCCTTTAATGCCGGCATGTGCTTTTATTTGCTTCAGCAACTAAGCTGACCAGGTGTTTATCAGAGGCAGGCATTTTCAAGGCAAATACAGAACGCCTCCCAAATTATGTCGAGAGACGGGCTGTTATTTGAGCAAGCATTTATTACACGTTCTGCAGCAGAAGTCCGGATCAAAATGCCAACCTTGATTTTTCTCAACCATTCGCAGTGAAGCTATATCCTGTGCGGCGCTGCCTGATGTGTGCTATCGAGCTTGGGATGTATTGAACTGCTGCTCAAACAGAGCACTGATCTCATCTATATTCTCCTTGGTGGGGTGAAGGGATCAGATAAAGATCAAACCTTATTAATATTGACTCAGACTGAGGGAAAAATTGAGCCTCGTATATGCTTTCAGGTATTAGAACGCCCTGCAATCCCAAGCATCAACCTGTTATCTGAGAACATCAGATATACTGCGTTAGTCCTCTGGTTACACTTCAATTCAATTCAATTCAATTGAGCTCTCCCTTTTTTTTTCTGCAGAGGCAGTTGAGTAAATTTTCTTCCTCGCCACCTCAGTTTTCCGTTCGGAATGTATTAGTGGAGGTGATGGAACTGATGGAATTTTTAAAAAAAGCGTGGCGTAAATTGAAATCCATACAGATACTCCCAGCAGCCTGGTATCATAGATGGTCCACCGAGAACTCAGGAAGAAAGACTTCCTCTCCTGCTCACTAAGTGCAGTTAATATGTGTGTTAGGTTGGGCCCTTTGAACACGAACCGCAGTGTTTCAATGAGAGCCACAGTCGCGTTGACCACTCCATTGACCGGCGATGCGTCCTGCTGTGCCCGTTTGATGGGGTCAAGGCCAGCTGTGGTTCACACACTGTTTCTGCTGGAATTAAACCGGCACAAGATTGGTCACCACTGCACACTACTGCTTAGCTCAAATTGGCTGCAAGAGGGCAATTCAGGAGCAAATAGGCTATTTCCCCATAGCAAGGAACATGGATTGGCTGCAAACGGAAAAGCCGTTTTCCTTTGAGACAAATTTATATTACAAGAACATATTTTAGCAGATGATTAGAGGGGAAATAATTTTTTTAATAACTTCCCATTTCCTGCCATTACAGTCAGCGGCTCCTGACTCACTTCAGAGAAAAAAGTGACTATTATATATTGAATACGTCTTTCACCCTATGAAGTCAGAATACCTGCCAAAACAGTCTGGGTCATGATTTCACTGTTCAACAGTACTGGGTGTAATGGAAGACAAATGCATCAAAAATTCTTGTTAATATCCACAACTTCACCAAGACGTGATTACCAAGCGAGCAAAGTGGGCGACTGGCCCATGGGGCCCCAAACTTACAGGGGCCCCCGTAACTGTGTGGCAAATGGTTTGTCCTTTATTTAGTTGATTATGTGTGATATTGTGTTAAGTACAAGTAGTTACATTTGAGTACTTGCCGATACCGAGTACCAATATAAGTGCTGAATAATACCATTACAGTTCGAACAATAACTTTGTTGCTGACATTTTAACATTCAACATAGTGTTTCCTGATACAGAGCATAGTTATATGCAGTAGTGAATTTAATAATTAACTGTTTCTCCGTGGTATCAATTAAACAGTTATTAATCAGTAAGATAGAAATATTGAAAAAAATAAAAAATGTAACGGAGTAAAACTCAAAGGATCAGCTCGGTCCACCTTTAAAGGTCAGTCCACCTTAAGTGCCCCTGAGTTGTAGCTAACTTCGGTGCTAACCCGCTAACCCAATTCACTTTCATCATCGATTTGCTAACTAGCAAGACACAGGAACCTAGCTTGTGTCTCCTCACGGCTCTTGAAGAGTTGTGTCATTTATTCACCCACAAATAAACTGTGCACGCGCTGCACTGCTACACTCACAGCTGTAACGTTACTACATACTCACTGTGACACACACATGCTTTCCTTCTCTCTGGGACACTCGCTAACGTTACGCAATATGACGGAAACCCTAACAGCGCGTGCCATGGCAGACACACAGCCGACAAGCTCACAGCTAAAGTAATTAATGTGGTGGAGACTAAAGTGGCTGCATGTGTCCACCACATTGCAAGCAACAGTGTGGCTGCTAATTCTCCCGAACAAGTTAAGTGGGGACGGCTTGTTTTTTTAAAATGGATTTAAGCTGTTTGTGTGTGATTATCGTTGATGTTGGGCGGTTTATTGTCGCGTTGCCGTAGTGCGCTTGCATCGGAGTAGTTATGCCAGTATAAGTACATGAGCACAGTATCGGGGTGTACAGATACTGGCAAAGATAGCCCTTTATGGTTAGGATATTTCCCTCTCTCTCATATACAGTGTATATATATATATATATATATATACACACACACACACACAGGCAAGATAGAGAAAAAGAGAGGGAGATGCAACGATGTAATTGATGGTTAATTAATTCATTTTATTTTATTAATAGGCAAA